GCATCCCCAAGTCCTATAAAATATAGAACATGATGACTCACAGGACCTTAGACCGATGCAGTGGAGGTAGAGAGAGGCTCCAGGGACAGGTCTAAGGATAAGTCGGCTCCAAGGATCAGGTGAGTATAACAATTTTTTTTTTTAACCCTATGCAAAAACAAGTAGTTAACCCTACTGCAAGGGTTAATAAAATGTCTGCCTGGAGTCCTTTAACTGCTCTTCACATACACATTTTATGTTTATCATTTGTGTGCTCTTCGGACTGTAAGCAATAGAATAATTTCTGCAACGTTTTAGAAATTAAAACAAAAAGTTATTTGAAATTGAAATGATTGTGTGACGAGTTATCATAATCCGTATGAGTGGCCTAGCTTAACCCTTTTGCTGCCAGAGCCTTTTTGCGCACATGATATAATGCACATTTCATGACTGAAGATTACTTAACTCCCCCTACCCAGAAAAATCGATTTCCAGGAAGCAGGGACCCTGTAGAATACAATGGTGGCAGCTGCAATTCTTTCTGTTGCATATTAGCACAACTGTTGATCAAATCCATATTTTCAGTAAGAATTACACGTGTTAATTGTAGTGCACATAAACACAATGTTACCCAATTTTTGGATAAGATATAAAAGATGAGGCTGTGCACCGTGGGACAGGAAGTGCCAGCAAGCCCAGAGGAGTCAGCGCTGAATCGTAGACCCGCAGCAGCGCTGGAGGGACAGATGAAAACGACAGGAAAGAAGAAGATCGGATTAAGAGACATCATTTAAGGTAAGTGCTGACATTAACAGGAGTGTCTTTTTGTGGATCGGAGCTCTGATAGTGGGATTGGAGCACGGATAACGGATCTGGTGAAAGAGGACTTCTTCCTGGAAGATTCACCACTGTTGGAGTAAATCAATAAAAGCGCTTGTTGACCATGTAACATACTGATCATATATACGTCCGGTGAGTGCAGAGGAGTGTTTGCACAGTGGTGTAACACACAGTGGGGGGAATTTATCAAAGCTGGAGCAGCTGTGCACGGCAACCAATCAACTTCTCTTTTTAATTTTCAAATCTTAACTCAACAAACTGAATAGAAGCTGATTGGTTGCCATGGACAACTGCTCCAGTTTTTGTCTGCTCCAGTTTTGCTAAATTCCCCCCAGAGAGCTTTTGGAAATAGCCGTACATAGAAGATCCATTCACAGTGTGATTGGGAAAACAGGCACTTTGTGGATGTATCTCACTATTTCATGCACTATTTTTTGCACATGGTGAATTGATACAATTGATTGACTGAATAAGCTTATTGCTAAGTTACATTAACTGCATACAACTTTTTATGCAATTTTTAAAATGTGTTTTTTAGGTGAATTTTGTACATTGGTTTGATGGGATTAGTACATAGTTACATAGTATTTGAGGTTGAATAAAGACATTAGTCCATCAAGTCCAAACTATTAGGATCTAATTCTAGGAGTACCTGTACCCCTGTAATTCACTGTATTTATATTATTCATCTAGTAGGTCTGTTGATATTTAGCCCGGTGTTAAATTATTATGCTATTAATAACAGTAGGGTACTGATGGCTAACTCTAGCTAATTTTTGGGGCACATCGTTCACTTTGCACATTCTTGGGGTTTTTGGGCATTTGAAGGTAGGCATAGAGAGCGCAGATATATTTTTTATTAAGGCTCTGATTAATTGTTTGTTAAGTAAAACCTATTTTTTTCAGATCAAAAGCAATGTATTACTAAAAAAACAAAATCTCAAAATCTAATAACTAAACCATAGATTTCCACTAGGTGGCACCATTGCACCTTTTTTCGTTGACTAGGTGGACTCTTATATGCAATGTATTGGATATGTATTTAATTTCTACATTGGTACAACAAATAAATAGTTTGGTTACTTCATCACTTATTGTAAAAAGAAGAATACAGGAAGTGAAATGGAGTTTTATCCTGGAGAGGGGCTTTATAATTGTGATCTGCATTGCTGGCCTTGTGATGTCTGTACTATGACTTAGGAAGGGACTTCCAAAAATGACAGGAAATGTCAGGGATCCCAACCTGAAAAAAGTAATTTCAGGGAGGTGCCCTCTACCCCACATCTCCCAGCCCCCCCGGCCTCCCCCTGAAATGATGGCAGATAGCAAAGAAGCTAATGCTTCTTTCTCAGAAGCAGATTTGAGGATCTCACCAGGGCAGCAGGGGCAGATGCGGAAAGTCTGACCAGGGCAGCAGGAGCGCTGTGAGATTTGAGGGCCGGTGGATAAACTGTGATGTGCAGGCCGGGGCGGTAAACAGGCACCGCTGCGGATCCCCAGAAGGCTGCAGTGAGGTCCCCAGCAAGTGCGGGATCTTACAGCAGCCGAATCAATTTGAACATATAAAGCGCCAGACCATGCCCCCTCCATAGAAGGGCCTGGGACCCTAGGGACCGCAAATCAGTGGGCCCCCCCAGCCTCGAGCCCTGGTGCAGCTGCACTGGCTGCATAGGTGGTAGGTCCGCCCCTGGGTAAAGGAAGTTGAGACAATGGTTGGTCTCAATGAAAAAAATGCACTTTTCCTGCATGCTGTTGCAACGATATGGCTTGCAGTGTGTTGGTTGCTATTAATTCTGAATGGTACCCCCATGCACCTTGTAAGTGCACCACCTCCCACATGGACAGCACAACACACGGCTCAAACGTGAACCATATGTGTGTTGTGTTGCTCTGCATTTAGCAAGGTGGTGCAGGTGTGTTAAAACCTCAGTTTGGTGCATTGGCAGCGCATTTAAAATGAATGGACTGCCTTATGGCAACACACCTTAACACATGAAATAGTGCATGCAGTAACGCCCTGCAAATGAGTGTGCTGGCCCTAAGTGTTACAGGACTACACCCTCGGGCAAAAATCTATAGCAAACCGTTAGTGTTTGGTAATGACTCTGCATCCAATAATAATCCTGCAACATAACTGAATGTTGAGGTTTTTGAGCTAAAATTCCAAGAATTAACTGACATATTCAGTGAACACAAAGCAACCCATAAATCTGCCAAGATGCAGCACTGGCAAAGTGTTACTGGTCTGTTAATGCTTGAATGCTTTGTGAAGTTTTATTAAATCCTTTAAACACATGTTCATATGGAGGGAACTATTATGTGAGTCATATAAATAGAAACACATGGAAAATACTACATTTCTACTTTGTTCTTTTTAAAGAATGATTGCACATAATGATAACAATGTACCTCCTACCATAACATATAACTAAATCTGGGGTCAGATAACAGATGATCTATAGATATGTATACAGTATAGGACTTGTTTAGATTAGGACGGATCGTTAGTACTGTGCAACAGTTTTGGGAATGTGTCCAGAATGTTTTAAAAGTTAATGCGATGAATTGTTTGTATTCATCAATGAACAACCTGCGCAGTGCCTAATTAGAAAAAGCTCTAAATCAAATTATCATTTGGTGTGTCCACACATTGCCTTTAAAACAGCATCAGTGGTACACCTACACTTGTAAGGTAGGCTGCTTCAAGCATTTAGGAGAAATATGTTTTTACTAAATGGGCAGCGCTAATCTACAAAACATAAATGTGTTAACCAATATTATTCAAAAAGCTGCTGCGCTATAGACCCCTGGACGTCTAGTGAATGAACATATCCCCTAAGGCTGGGCACAC